ATTTATTCCTACCCTTTGTTTCCTGTCTTTTAACCAGTTCGCAATCCAAGAAAGGACCTTCCCTCTTATCCCATGGCCATGTAATTTACACAAGAGCCTTTGGTGAGGGACCTTGTCAAAGGCTTTCTGAAAATCCAAGTATACTATATCTACTGGATCCCCCTTGTCCGCATGTTTGTTAACCCCTTCAAAGAGCTGTAATAGGTTAGTAAGACAGGATTTCCCTTTACAGAAACCATGTTGACTTTTGTCCAACAAATTATGTTCTTCTACATGCTTCACAATTTTATTCTTTACTATTGTTTTAATTTTATTCTTTACTATTCTTTACTTCAGTTTTTTTCTTATTGGGTACATTTTCATTCTAGCATAGTGAAGATTTTAAAATGCACAAACAAACAGCTTTTTGCATGTACCAGTCAATTTAATCTTAATCTACTGAGTAATATTTCATTGAGAGTACATTAATAAATAAGCTTCAAGGACAATATATTTTCAACGTTGTGACTTACCAATGATGTTGAGAAAAAAACTGTTGAGAGGCCAAGAAAAAGAGAACTGGGTCAGTGCCTATCCAACAAATTTAACCTGAATAGCAAAGCTATACAATGTTCTGAAAGGGAACCTAACATACGCTTATTACAACAACCTTTACAATTCACCAATAACTTGACACAACAAACAAAGAAAACTATGCTTTTCAAGGCATTAGATAGTTGTTCCTTGCTTCAGAGGCAGCAAACTTAGCTATGCAGATAATTCATTTTAACCAAAATAAGTGGCTCTATTTAATGTCACAGTTCTATTTTTTCTTTTTAAAGTCATGCTTCTTCAATAAGGTAGAAAATGCTAAAATAAATGTAAGGAAGAATCTATATTTATATTTAAATTATATTCCATTTATATCTGCTATATAGTCATGCCCTGAAAACCCAAAGACCAGCACTTCAGCTGTGCTAATTCAAGATACTGCCATTGATTTACACATGCTGAAGAACTGACCCAAACATATTTGCATTCTGCAAGAGTCATAAAATGGAATATACAACATAAAGATCCCACTAACACTTCTATTTTGCACAGTAGTTATGCTTAAAAGTACAGGTTTATATTACAGGCAGTCCCCGGGTTACGTACAAGATAGGGACTGTACGTTTGTTCTTAAGTTGAATCTGTATGTAAGTCGGAACTGGCGTCAGCCGCTGCTGAAACTGATCAGTTTCAACCGCGGCTGAATCTGGACGCCAGTTCTGACTTACATACAGATTCAACTTAAGAAACCCAGGCGTCCCCAAGTCAGCTGCTGCTGAAACTGATCAGCGGCTGATTCCAGGAAGCCTGGGGCAGAGCAACTCTGCCTCGGGCTTCCTGTAGTCATGTAAGTCGGAACTGGCGTCAGCCGCTGCTGAAACTGATCAGTTTCAACCGCGGCTGAATCTGGACGCCAGTTCTGACTTACATACAGATTCAACTTAAGAAACCCAGGCGTCCCCAAGTCAGCTGCTGCTGAAACTGATCAGCGGCTGATTCCAGGAAGCCTGGGGCAGAGCAACTCTGCCTCGGGCTTCCTGTAGTCAGCCACTGGTCAGTTTCAGCAG